TATCAAAAAACTATGATTTTTTAATTCTGCTAAAATATTGAGGAGAATAATATGATTACTAAACTGTTGCCTGCTAAGCAATATGTTAAAATCAAAACAGGATTATAAAAATTAGCGAAAAAATTTTTTTTAGAATAAAAGAATAAAAGAAACTTCTTAATTGTTTTAGTTAGGGTGAGATTTAAGACATGAATTTTTTGGTTTTCAAGATGATTCCTTCTAAAATCTCTTAGGAGCTAGAAATTGGAACAATTTAAAAGTATATTTAGGTATTTCTTTCTTGCATCATAATTATCTACAATTATCTTCGGTAAGTTTTTATTAGAAGATATGAAAAAAATCTTATTTTGATATATAATGGATTGCTAAAAGAATTGGTTCTAATAAAGAAAAACTAGCTATAAAATTTATGATTGAAGGCTTGAGTATGTTGAGTTTGTTCGTTCAAATACTTTGCGAAATGAATAATTTCCTTTTTTTTTGCCTGTTTAAAAATTTGAAATACCCCTACTCTTCTAACCTGGCTTAATGGTATATTGATGTGAATAATAATCATAATTTATATATATTTAATTTGGACAAAGCTAGGCATTTGAATTATCTATAGATAAATCTTCTACAACCCTCTATGTAAAGCTTTAAAAAGTGATGTAGAATTGGAAACATTAAAGTATAAAAAGTGGAAAAAAAATAGATTGATCTAAAAATGACAATTAAACAGTTCAGTTTTCTCTTTTTACGTGTACTTAATCCCTAAAAACAAAAAACATTCAAATACGAACTTTACTATTTTGAAGAAAATACTTTCTAATTTATAGGTTGAAAGCAAATCACCAGGTAGTAATGTCAGAAAGCTGGGTTTAAAGTTTCATTTTAAATATTAATTCTAAAAGGTGATCATGACCATAATTTAAAGGTTTAGAAAGAATCAAGTTTTTTTATTTTTATTTTTATCATCAAAAGTGTCAAAACAAAAAAAAATAGATTTAGATAACTAAGTAAAGTAAAATTGATCTTAATCTTAATGTGTATTTATTTTTTTCTCAAACTCGTTTATTTAGGGTGAATGAAATTTTCTAATAGAAAATCAATTATAGACACTTTAATTTTTCATAATATTAAATTATCAAGTAATCTTTAGATTGAATTTTAAAGGATCTTACCTATTTAAGTAAATTAATACCTTTTCTTTTTGTACAATTATTTGTGCTAAGATTTAAGACCTATATTTCTTACTAACTAACTAAATTTTTATTATCTGATAGCCAAATCCATCAATATAAATTTGAATTTGTCACTACACATTGAAAAAAATAATTATAATTAATATATATAAGTTTCTTGTTTTTATATTGTAAACTATTCGCAATATTCTCCCAACAATAATCTTAAGAAAAATATTTTAGTTAAAAAGTTAGAAATGATTTCAGAAGTTTAAAAGGATCTCAATGATAAGTACTTCTAAGATATCTGGCTCTTTATTAAAAATTATTTATGTAAATTTAAGCCTTATTTAATACTTTTATAATGTTATATTTCATCTTATTAAATTATCTATATGATAATTCCCATTCATTTAACCAATAAGAGAGTGAAGTTCCCCTCATGGAGCTCCAAGAATTGCTTATTCAAAGACCTCTCTCACTTGTGTATAATGAGTAATTGGCTTCTAACCGTGGCGTGAGCAGAGATGAATTTTGATGGAGCAATCCTTATGTCGAGGCTTAGATATGTGCTGCAAGGGGATCCGATTGCAATATCTAAGTACAGCATAAGCTCCCCATTCTGATTAAATTCGAAGCCAGTAGAAGTAAGCATAGAGGTAAAGAGAGGAGAGCTGAAAGTGGACCTGCCCTTAGTGAAGTATCCTTTTGGGGAAGTAAGAAATAGAGTGGGTAGAAGAAGGTGTACATCTCATAATATCCATCTGGTTGACTGCCTGGAATTCAAATAGGATAAAATTTAATTAGGACCCATCAAATAAGTGAATAATCCGTCATTAATAATTTTCTGAATGCCCCTTTAAAATGGAGAGAAAACTAAGAAGTTTCTAGAATTATCTAGAATATCAAAATATCTTTTTATTTCTTTAAGCATTTAATATTAATAGTTATATTTGTATTTCTGATCTATTTAAATTAAAAATAATAAATAATAATTCTTTTCTTAAATTGTTAAATGGCCTTTGCTGATTTTTATAATTATAGGTTTAAGTTTATATTCTAACTTAGTTTCGATATAGCCTAACCTTATTTTAAAAATAATTTTATGGTTCATTACCCATTCCAATAAAGAATTAAATCTACTTAGAAGCCATCCTCTATGACAGAAAATACACTTATATAATTAATTAAAGCTTGAAACAGAATAGGATATTAATGCTTATTGTTCAATTTTTAGGGAAAATATAACCCTCTTACTATCATATTTTATCAATCTGATAAATAGATTGACCACAGGATTTCTCCATGTATAAAGATTTACTGTATGCTCCATTACAAAATTCATTCATATTTAATTGTCACTTTTGATTTATCTTTAATGACTTATATTGTTGAAAGAAAAATACTGTAACTATGTGATTTAAAAAGATTAAAACAATCTAATAGTTTAAAATAGTCAATCTAATATTATATTAGTGCTTAATGACTCCAAAAAAATAATCATTACTCTATAATTTTTAAAGTCACAAGTGCTGTAAGAAAAACCTCATAATTCATTAAATTAATGATTTAAACTAATTATTTTTTGAGTTAGTTGTTAGGAACAATTAAAAAAATAATATTATGTAACCTAGCAATTTAAATAAATTGACTTGTAATCAAATTCAAATTAAAATAAGGTATTTAGAGTTTAAATAAATAATAAAATTATTTTTTCTGAAAAATAATACAAACTTCTAACAAATAAATTCCAAATTCGTCACAATCTACATTTTACACAGCAATTACTAATAAGAAATAAAATCCTCTGAAAATTTCAATAAATTGAATTCCATAACTAATAAAAACTCTAACAAATAACTTATATGCAAATTACAAATAAAATAAATTACTAATGATCATAATTTGCAATAATCAAATATTTTTTTGAAATCTTTCTCAATCAATTTCTTTGAAGGTCAAGGTATCTACATATATATCCTTAGCCTACTCACCGATTACATAATATTCTAAAACCTAGTAAAATAATCACATCCACTTCCCTATTTTATTACCATCATCTTCTTTATTATATAATCCACCACCACTAAAAATTTATAAAATTCCTCATATTTAACAATAACTTCAATTCATTGTTATACATATTTATTTACAGAATATAGTAATCAAATATTCAAATAATTCTATCCATTTTCCAATTTTATTGCTATTACCTCCCTTATCATATTATCCACCACCGCTAGAATTGATAAGTACTTTTGATATTTTACATTATATTATAAGCTTTTTTACCCCCAATTATCTATACAATATCCCATTTACCATCTTTTTGACCATTTTTATATTAGCCTTCAAATTTGATTTAAGGCTCTTATTAAAATAGCCTTAAATCACTTATGATAATGTTTAAAAATAAGAATGAATTCTAAAAATTATTTGTAAAAGAAGTAATGATGGATTAGAAAGTATTTCTTCTTTTTGAAACAAGAAAACCCTATTCATTTATCTGAAAATTGTGACCATTTTAGAGAATTTTATTATTTGAAAATTGATACTTTATTGATTTGCTTTTGTATTATGATATGGAAACATAAATGTAAAATATTATTTTCATTTAAATTAATTTGTGGTGAGTGTGATCCTGAGTTATGGGTGATTCGATCCAGAGTGCACCAAACCTTTTGCATCTGCATAGGATATCACCACCTGAATCATTTTGTATAATTAAATAATCCCTGACAAAATTTAATGATGCTTGTAGGATTAGAGGGTTATCACCAAAGATAAAAATAATCTGGCAAATTCTGGTGCAATTTCTTTATATTTTTACCCCTCCATGAATAATGCACATAACAAGCAAAATATATGAATATCAACAAACAAAGCCTAAGAAGAAAAATAAAGATATATCATTCTAGTAACTAATTAAACTGAACGAGGCTAATGACTTTTTAATTGTGCGTTATTCACTTAAATGGGTGATATAATAATAATAATGTTATAAAATTTTTGAAGTATCAGTTCTTAAAATTTTATCTATAAATAAAATGATTAATATCACTAATAGATACAGTATTTTTTTGCTATTGATGATAAAATTGAGCTTTAAGTAGAATAGAAAAGGATATTAGCAGATTTTTAATGTATTAAAATCTAAATACCTTTTTCTCTTTCTATAAGCATTTGATGAAGCATCAATTTATAAGATTTTAAAATATGTTCAAAAAGGGTTTGGTAAAAAAGATTCCAGCAAGAAAATCAAGGAAGCGATAGATAAGTTTGTCCGTTTCTCAATTTATTAAGACTATGTATTCATGTAAATAAAAACAGAGAGAATAATGTATGTAGATATACGTTAATTCAAAATAAAAACATCCTGTCAACATTATAAAAACTGTCTTTAACAAAATTCATATTCTATCAGCGTCTATCTATCAACAAAGTTATTTTAACTCTATTCAGAATCAACTAGTGAGAAATTGTATACTTATTGATTTAGAAAAAAGATAAGGATAATCAAAATAACAATATAACAAGGCTATAAATAATTAAATAAACTTCAAATAATAAGTCGATTTAGTCTTTTCAATTAATTAAAAATGATTTTAAGATCTCTTTGACATGCTGAATCTAGAGATTGGTCAAGAATGCATTAGTTGCAAGCATACTTGATTCTTCGAAAAACATTCTAATATTAAAAAAAATTTATATAGGTCATAGATAAATGCTGCTTTCTGTTATTTATATACAATGTCTAATAAGAGATTCATCCTCTTTCAGAAAAATTCTTCAAATAAAGCGAGCCGAAAAAAATAACAAGTTACTCAGCTACAATATAGATATCATACTCTCAAAAACTTGTTATTTTTTATATTTAAAATGTGATTTTTGTCATTTAATTATTTCTCAGTTGCATCAGAACAATCTTAGAGAAAAATATTTGAATAAGACTAAAGAGGTACTTAAATTAAATGGACACTTTGTTGGTTCTAAATAGTTTGTCAAACCATTTTTAAAAAAGAGAATTTTAATTTTACGAAAACACAATTAATTATCCTAAAGGTGTTAAATATCTTAATGCTTCTTGAGTTATTACTCTTAAAATGATTAATTGACTAAGTTAGATTCTAATTGAAGATAATTATAAAAAAGTTATTTAACTGATTATTTATTAGTATAATGTTTACTAGTTAGTCAGCTTTGGAAAATACATAAAAGAATAGCTTAAGATAGGCATTATTTCTGAAAACCAATTTTATGTTTTTCTTATTAGTAGGTTTTTCAAAGTTTATCATTGTTTAAGCATTTAGAAGCATACATTAGCCAAAGATTGTAAGTAAATCAATATAAATTGAATATAATTAGTTCAGTAATTAGTCTAAAAATCAAGTTACTAGTATATAGGCTACTAAGCATCCTAAGGAAATGATCAAAAAATATTTAGTTAAGATTTATTCCTTTTATTCAATCAATCTTTAAATAAACTATATTTAGTTTCATAAATTATAAAGTAAAACGACAGAGGCTTTAAAGTTCAAATCAACATAATAATTATCCAGTTAATGTGATCTTACTGGATAAAGATCTTGAAGGAGCAAAAAGATTAGTGTGCCAATAATGTAAAATAAATAATTTAGTGAGTAATATTAGACTAAGATATTTTAGTAATAAAAATGATTACTCTAATTGAATTTGTTACAAGATTTAACTTTAAATTGGGAAACCACAAAAACGCAGAAAATGTTTAGAAGGAATAATAATGGAAAGAATCCAATCAATTAATAATTAGTTAACTTAATTTATAGAATCAAGTTTAATATCGATTGATATAAGAACAGTATTGTCATGTTTTAGAATTTAATAACGACAATTCTCTAATAGCTGCATCTTGATATAAAAAATATTAAAATTTGGAAATTTAAAGATGGATAGATGATTGATTAAATATAGTTTTGACTGGTCATGAAAATGATTTTTTTTGAATTTTATTTCGCAAATAAATTATTTGGATTGTAACTAGTGATTGAAATAACCAACTAAGAAGTTTGATTCAGAAACAAGGTTTTTTTTTGGAACAACCTAATGGGAAAGCTCTTAACCACTAAAATAGCTTTAATCATTAATATTATGCTTGTATCTAAATTAAAATGAAGATGAATGAATATCTGGAAGTGGAGATTAAACTATAAAAGTATGGAAAGTGGATTGTTAATCAATTAAAATTGAATTCTAATATTTCCTTTAGAAGCATTAAGATTATGTTGATAAAGTAATCCTAAATTCTAATTCAAATGGTGTCTTGTGGATGGGATTCATAAATCATTTTAGGGAAAAAGGATTGTAGTATGGCATAGTAATTTAAATATATTTTTTAATAATCTATTCAAGACATTGGAATGAGTATTAGATTTTTAGAAGATGATACAATAGTTTGGTGTTAATTTAATTAACCATTTTTACAAGTTTTCAAATTATAAAATAGAACATTTTAAGAAAGATTTGATTTGAAAGTTTAATTAAAAGAACTTATTATAGAAATGACTTTTTCGACTTTAATTTGTTTTAGTTACAATATTTATCAAAAGCAAAAGTTTTTATTTCAAGTCAATTAAAAATGTATATTATATGAAAGAATACTCAACTAATTTTTCTTTGCAATCCTATTGATTTATAATCAATGTTGTAGGAATATAACAGATGATGGAAGATATTTAGTAAATTGGAATAAAAAGTAGAAGTAATTGTAAATTTATAAAATTTAATATGAAAGAAAACTTTAATTATATCTCTTTCTCAAAACTTTAATTTGTTTTTATAATTGATATTCCTTTTTTGATTCATTTAAGGGATTTGTTGAAAAAAATAAAATAAATTAATACAACATTTCACTCATTCCTATTTATTTCTACTATTTCAATTATTCTATTAATTTATTTTTCCTGGAATATTTATTATTTGATTAAGTATAAGAAACATAAATATTATATTTTTTTCTGATATATCATAAATTGTTGAATGTACCCTCTAATTACATTTATCTATATTGGAAATTAAATCTTTTTCAAAAATCAAATTAGCAATTATTGAAAGATGAGTTTTAAATTATCAACTAAGATATGTCATATAAATGTAATTAAACTCTTGCAAAATAAAGATAAATCGCAAATCTTTGATTATATTCATCAGAATTTAAATAAAGTAAATTATGTTATATGAATAATTTTATTCTTAATTATTGTAATTGTGAGATTTTATTTAAGATAGATTTTTGATAATTTTTTGAGATATTTTCCATTATATCATGTAGTTAAGTGGTAATAATTGCATAGATTTTAGATTTTAAAAGGCACTCAAATTGCCAATTTATGTTCCTTATGATTAGATAGATAAAATCTGTAAATGATTTGGTTTGCCATCCTAGAATCCACAAGAAAATAATTATGGAGATAGAAAAGATAATTTAAATATGATTTTAGTCCTTTTCGGCGGCTAAAATTGCCGGAGATGGTTAATGAATTTTAATATAAAGCGGATGGTAACCATATAAAGGATGGTGAAATTAAAAACAAAAATTACTATTAAATGAAAAGAAAAAATGTTAAGTGGTAATCTAAAGATCAAGTACATGCCAAACATAGGGAATATTGATAGATTTAAATATTCTTGCAAAAAATGTCAATGTGGTCTAATGAACTATTAGTTACTTAAAAATGTATTTAAGAATTCAAAAGACTAATTATATATAAGGACTATAAGTATAAATATAATGGAGGTCAGTCCTTCACAATTAGAAGAGCTTCCCTGATCAGAGTTTAAGGACTTATATTGACTCATCATTTACTTATAGATAAATATCAGGAGCTACATCATATCCTATTAAACAAGTCATAGTAATAGCTTATGGAAATATTAATGTAAGAAAAATAACAGAAGGATATTAATATATTCTGTTCTTCATCTATTTACTAATTCAGTGGCAGAAAAAGGTTATAATTCGCTAAGTTATAATTAGCTGAACCAGAACAGATTTCAAATGTGGAACAAAAAACATAGTCTAAGAAAATTATATTGAATTATCAATAAAATAGGGGAATAGATATAGATGACGACTATTAGTCCTCTTCAATAATAATATCTCAATTATTATATAATGGCTTAGAATTAATAACTATTTAAAATTTTACCTAAAGCTTTCACTGCCTTACTTTCGTACCATGAAAGGCATATATATATAGATGGTATTAATACTTCATAAAGTACTTTGAAAATATAATTATTCAAAATAATGTTTTGCCCAATGTGCTAAAATGACTTCAATATGGAATATTTTTGAAAAAAAATTTCTCTAACAAAGTAAGTATGGATTTTGGCATACCAATGATTAGTCCATCTTATAAATGATTCATCATTATAAATAAAGGAAAAGTTTTAAAAAAATTTGATTAACAGGGAAGTTAAATGAAATTTAACTAAAATAATAAATATATTAAAATTCAAATAATATCATTTATATATTACTCTGTATATCTTTATCATTAATTTAAGAATTGAAAATATTATTGTAATTACATTTAAATAAATTAATTAAATTTGCAATACTTTATAATATTATAATTTTAACTTCTTAAATCTAGATTATAATTACTTGCCAAAATAATCTTTTTGAAAATTCTAAAAGAAAAGAACTTTAATAATTAAAGATTAGAAAATGATGATCATTTAAATTACGATATTATTTAATATTCACTACAATAACTTCCAGTTCCATATATATTATTTTTTCTTAAGAACTAAATAGTAGAAAATCTATAATATATTCAAATTTGCAATATAAAATATTAGATGTAGTAAAATTAAGTTTGTTCATGTCACTAATCAAAAATAATTTTAAGTATTTATTTGATTGAAATTAAATCTTGAATATTATAATCTTAAGATAGATTAAGAACTTCAAATTTTATATTAATCGTATTAAATTATTTTTATTTAAAGTCAATCAGATAACTTTAGAAATTATTATAATTTGTTTAGCAGTCAACATCTAAATAAAATTGAATGTAATCTACTAAAAACTGAAAGTAAGTAAGAAACTAATCATTAAATTAATTGCTTCAGAATATTTGGCATCTTGTTGTAGAATATTAATTAAATCTGTATTTTTAAATCAACATTCATATGTAATAATAAGTAGGAATACTTCAAAAAATAAATTAGTTAGCTGCTCAAGACTATTAAATATTAGTTTATAATAATTCCTTTCCGGTCAATATCTTTATTCTTTTATGTCTTAAAAGTAAAAAGAAGATCAAAAAAAGTTTGAAAAATCATCAAAATTATAAAAGTAACTTATAAATTTATTTAACTTCTTTTGTATTTATTAAATCCTAAAATCTAAATATCTAACTCTTGATTTATAAAGTAAAGAGTTACATGTGGATCATAATTTGGTA